GATGCCATTGGCCTTCTTGGCCACAAGGGCCCATTGCTGGCTCATGGGCATCCTGTTGTCCCCCAGGACTCCCAGGTCTTTCTCCTCAGAGCTGCTCTCCAGCAGGTCAGCCCCAACCTGTCCTGGTGCAGGGGGTTATTCCTCCCCAGGTGCAGCACCCTGCACTTGCTCTGGTTGACATTCATCAGGTTCCTCTCTGCCCAACTCTCTCAGTTTCTTTGGGCTTGCAAGGGTTTTATGCAGTGCTTTTGAAATACCTGCAAAATGGGTTTCTTTGGGAAAAAAATAAAAAAATAAAAATCAGACTCTAGGGCTTTTGGATAGAAGTTTATGGATCAAACATCGTAGGCGTGGTTGGAGACTATTATTAGACTGAAAGCCTGATGAGGGAGTTGCAGATATATAGAATCACAGAATGGTTTGGGTTGGAAGGGACCTTCAAGATCATCCAGTTCCAACCCCCTGCCCTGGACAAGGACACCTCCCACCAGACCAGGTTGCTCCAAGCCCCATCCAGCCTGGCCTTGAACCCCTCCAGGGATGGGGCATCCACAGCTTCTCCGGGCAACCTGTTTCACTGCCCATATGGTCCTCACTTTATTTTTACTGTTCAGAAGGATTTTCTCCCCCTTTAAGCAGCTGCATCTTCTTCGGGCAGAGGTTACAGTCCAGCTGGTGGCTTTACAGGGGAGTCTTTCTGGTGGGTGCGGTGCTGGCACGAACCAGCTCCCTGAGAGACCCGATGGCGTTTGTGGTGTTTGCAGATCGCGGCGGCCCTTGGGACAAGCATCACCTGGCAGAAGGCGCTGCAGGAATGGCCTCAAGTGCTCGGGAAGGAGAATCCATTCAACCACCAGATCGAAGCCATATTCAAAGACCAAGGTGGACACTGACCTCCCCAACGGCCGGAGCCCTGGGCTGGTTTAGGGTGACGCCTCCCAGCGCGGAACAAGACGATTAAAGATAAAGGGGGAGGGGAAGTTATCTGAACCAGTAGTGGTGGAAATAACCCAACAGCATCCTTTTGGGTTTGTATCTCCCCTGCACCAGTAGGCCACGCTTTGTCTGTGGAGCAACAGAAATAAAAAGCAAAGGAGATCTGCCAGTTTGACCATTTCTTGTACTGGTTTGCAAACCTGGACTATTTTTTTTCCCCCCATAGACGTGGCAACCTCCTGCCCCGACTTCACATCCCCCCTCCCCTGCAGAACATCATGTCTGGGCTTCCCATTTGTACCACCTCAGCTGTTCAACTCACCCCAAGGAGGAAGGGGAGGGAAGAAGCCCCAAACTCCTTGTGTTGCTATAAATTGTGTGGATGTCGTTGCCCTGACTGGCAAGACATTATTTAGCTCCTATTTACGTATTAAAATGTGCCAGGAATAAGGTGCCACTGGAATTTTGATTTCCCTGGCAGCAGCAGTCGTCCCCCCCGCCATGACAGTAACTTGACAACCCTCCACCTGTTTAAAACAGGTTGTTTTATCAAGCTTTTCTTCTTTCATCTTTCCTCTTTTGCTTCCCTAACAAACAGGATAGACCCAGTCCTGGATCTTTAAGAGGCAGGGCCCAGGGGATCCCTGAAGGCGCTGGGCAGCCCTTATCGGCTCCACCTAATTATTAGTAGTTTTTTCACCAGCTCACCTAACAAAATATTCTATTTTTCAGCAAAATAAATAAACATCACAAAATTGGAGACAGCTTTACCCTACTCCCAGCCTTCCCGGTGACAGAGGGATCAGCAGCATGAAATAGCCTTAATTACAGGTGGGGGGAAAAAAAACCATCTGGGAAATAGAAAGCGTTAACGTGATGTGATTAAAACATATCTATTCATTTTCTTCTTTTTGATTTTAATATTAATTCTTCATTAAAGTAGTTTAGTTCGTTCTAAACTTCTAAATTAAACTTCTAAATCTCCTTATCTCTTCCTCTCTTTTTGGGGGTTTTGGTAAATTCGACAGAAACCATGACACTGGGCTAATGCTGCCCAAGATCCTCTTCCTTTTTTTAGGAATACAGTCAATGGCGCATCTTTTATTAAGAAAGAAATTCCTTTGGGATAACTGCAAACATCTAAGTAAACATTCAAGTCTCCTACACATTCCTTAATTGAACGGCGCTTACTAATAAGGCCCCAATTCATTTAGATGTTACCAAAATTACCCGGTCTCCCCAGAAACAGATTCCACTCCCCAGAGATGTGCCTGAGGAAGACTATTTAGCACAAGGAGGAGGAGGAGGAAACCCACCTGCTCCCTCTGCAAACCCTCTCCACCCGGTGGCACAACCTTCCCTAGCCCCTGCCCGGGCAAAACACCTTCTAACTATTTTTTATATTATTCAGGTTTCCTGTCTTTCATTAAAAACACACCAGGACAGAGACAAACCCATCCACGTGGTTTTACTACAGCCCGAGCGCAGCATAGACGATAATTATAGAAAATCAGATCGTTTTCCTCTCCACCAAAATAGGGAAACGTAGCAATTAAAAGGGAGAAGGGAAAAGTATGTGTTTAGAACCCGCGGTTTCCAGCGATCTCATTGCAAATGATTGCATTTTGGTGGAGGTTGGAATTTAATAACACCAATTAGGAGTTTTACAAGCTGCTAAAACTGAGATCTCCTCAGCTAAAATAAGCTTCGTTGCCCAGAGCGAAGCGTTTTCCGTTTATAGACTTTCTTATTAGTGAACATCTTGGAGCTCTGAACAACAGGGAGGGGGGTGGAGAATAAAGAAAATAAAATTAGAACCACATCTTCTCAATCCAAGGCGCCCCTGAAGCCCCGTAGCCGAGTCCCAAAGCAAAGCTCTGGACTGTGCCTAGTGCCCCACACCCACAACGTTACGGGAGACCCTTTGATGGGGGGTCTCTGAGGGACCTTTGACAGGGGCAGAGACTCCAGTTGTAAGCCCTGCAGTAAATATTTACAAATAAAGATGAGTTTGGAGCCAGTTGAGCTTTTCCAGCCCCTGCCTCTCCCCGTTATTTCCAAAGAATGCAAAAAAACAGCCAAAGACCTACCCCCCCCAAACCATGAGGACAGCTCCAAAACCAAACATGGTCCATCAAGGGCTTTTTGGGGAGCAAGTCAGAGCAGGTGAACACAGGGGAGGGTTACATCCTGGGCTGGTTCCAGGTGGGAAACAGGAAGGGGTATTTTTGATGTCATTTCTGTTCATAAACTCTTTTTACCAAACTTCAAGCTTTGCTTGAAATTGGTCAGCAGGAACTGGTTTTGAGGCACAGAACAATGGCAGCTGCCCTGAAGCTGTTTGAATTCGCACAGTCTGGCCTCTTCAATAAAGGATCTATGAGATACATGAAAAACTACATTTGCCAACAATTTTGAGAAGTTTTTCCACAGCTCACTCTTAAAAAAAAGCAGGAGAATCGTAGAATGGTTTGGGTTGGAAGGGACCTTAAAGATCATCCAGTGCCACCCCCTTGACTCTTAAAAAAAAAGCAGGAGAATGGTAGAATGGTTTGGGTTGGAAAGGACCTTCAAAATCATCCAGTTCCAACCCCCTGCCCTGGGCAGGGACACCTCCCACCAGACCAGGTTGCTCCAAGCCCCATCCAGCCTGGCCTTGAACCCCTCCAGGGATGGGGCAGCCACAGCTTCTCTGGGCAACCTGGGCCAGGGTCTCACCACCCTCACAGCAAACACAAGAGGGGAGAGCAGGTCAGTCAGGCTTCTATGGGCTTGTTTCATAATTTAATGAAACTCATTAGGTATAAACATCCACTTGAAAGTTTGGGTGGATGGCCTGCCATGGACCCACAGATGACATTTCCTCTTCTCCACTGTCCATCTCGTGTTCCTGATCCGCTGCCCTCTCCATCCCAAGAGGAAAGAGCCATCCCTTTCCTCCATACTGGATGAGCTGCCTCCAGCAGCCTCTGCAGGCATTTAAGTTCCAACCAGTTCACAGGAACTACCCATGGACAGTCTGGCCTCCCACTACAAAATTTGGTCCTTACTATCCCCGAGGCATCACATTATTTTCCCAAATCCCGTGGTATTTTGGGATACACACACCAAACAGAATCCTTTCTTAAACATTGTGTGGAATCCAGCCTTTTTTTCCTTCAGTCTACAAAGTAGCATCTCAAAAGCCTAAATGACATTATGAAAGAAAGCATAAAGTGTCTTATTCTTTATTTTAAATGAATAAAATAAATCTGAATACATCGTTTGGAAATACTTAAAGAGGTCAGAAAAAGAAAAATAGATTTAAAAGGACGAGTACAAAAGTAGCAGGATGAAAACAGTATAAGCTAACGGAATTTAGTGTTTCGAGCGTGAATATATAACAGCACGAGTAATTTTAAGTCTTCCACTATTGCAAATGCAATAGCAAAGTAATGAGATAGTATTTCACTAAGCCCAGTGAAAAGCTGTGAAAATCACAAGTTTTAATTCAATAGTTTTGCCATTTTAATGATGGGTCCGAAATACTGTTTTCATCTGCATTTATGGACCTGTCTATGAGGGGGGAGAAGACCCATTCCTTCAGCCAGCGGCGTATTACTTGGTACGTAGCAGCTTTGTAGTGTCTTTAAAAAAGAAAACAAAAGCACTTAACAAACTATTCTTAGTTCTCAAATGGAGAAGTCTCCCTTGTACAAACCACGAAGCCTCAGGAAATACTGATGCATATGATCCTAAACCTAATTTTTTTCCCCCTTTTTTTTTTATATAGCAGTCCTGACAAAAAAAAATATCCGAGAGCTTTCGTTTCTATCAAAGTGCAATACACTGCATACATAATTCCACACCTGTCCAGCACCTGGGACACGTGCCGTGCACTTACCTGTGCCAGCTTGTAGGAGAAATGGCCACAGGAGTATGCAGATACCGTGTGTGCCTTTTCTTCTGACCAAAAGGACACCGTGCAAGCAAGAAACACCTATATTGCATGTTGTAGAATATACTAGCAACTTCTATGCCTGATCATTACAAAAAAACACCAACAAACCCTCCAATATTAAATTTTGTGCTTCAGCACTACCCTTGTTAGAGATCTCTGAGCTATTGTTCATTTCAGAAAGCCGAGCTATCCGGTCAGCTTGGTTTTTCACCACCCTCTCCCTCCCCTTCTTGCCCTGAAGGACCTCAAATAATTTAGTTGTTTAAAGAAGAGAACGTACGGCACTAAAAGACTTCCAAAAAAGGAGTTACTTAAATATTTAGCACATTTAGAAACAGCTAATCGCTTCCTACACCATACTCCAAAGCTAGGAATAAAAACTTTTAAAATTCTTAAAATGAAATAAAAATACTGCATAACATAGTCTTATATAACGTTAAATACTCTTGAATTTAAAGCATAAGTGACCCAGAGGACGTCCCGCATTTTCATTTAAGTTCTTTTTTTTGTGTGTGTGTGTGTGTAGGTCACGTAGTTTTTTTTTTTGCATCCATGTTTTCTTCCTATTTCCCTTCCAGAGTTTAAAGCTTCCCGATGGGTTTGTAGCAGGCATCAGGCTGCCACATGCGAAGGTCAACAAGGACCTGGTTGAGCTTTTGCATCCAAAGGTTGCGCTCTTCCTTAGTATCAGCAGACAGCCAGTTCCTAAAAAGGCAAAGAACTCAATGGGTTAAGATAAGTCTTAGATAATAATTAAGCCTCTACTTATTCTAAAAAAGATCAAGCTCATCCAGGGAAGCCCAAACAGCAGGGGAAAAAGTGAAGTCAAATATCCCACAATCCTGCTACCCAGCATTTGTGCTTCTGGAAAAGCTGAGTTCTTTGTCCACAGGAGATGGAAATGGGACAACAAGACAAAACAGGACTAAAAGTGAAAGCGTCATCCCAAAATCTTAGCTGGAAAGTCAAAGCTGGAAAGCTCCTAAATGTTATTAAAACTCGAGGCTGAACACCCCTCCCACGCACAGCCCGTGTCCTGCCCCAGCCCTCGGGATGTCATCCGCTCACTTGGTGACGCAGAGCGTGTCCCTGCACTGGCTGACCAGAGTCTCTCTGTCATCTTCCCTCTGAGGACGCACGGTTATCAGCTCAAAAGTGTTGGGCCGGGCACAGAACTCCCTGTTGGCAGGTTCAATCTGATGATTAGTGCAGTTGGCCAAGTTTATCCGGCCCAAAGGATGCTGAAAGGAAAAGTTAGTTCGTCAGTCAAGCATACGGCAATCAGAAGTCATTCTGAACATATACATGGACAATTTTTGCCATATTAAATGACACCCTCCCACCCCAAATCAATTACTCCATACAAAAAAAAGAAGGATTCCACTTTTTGCATTTAAGAGCCATAGCTGAAACAAGATAATACAGACAATGGAACATGCCCTGTTCAGCTGTGTACAACACAGCCAACAAATCCACCCCTTTCCAAAGGTTCTAGAAAAATATATCCCCCCCCCTTTTCTTTATTCCTTAAAAAAAACCCAACTTTAACTCTCAAATTCAAGAAAGCTCCATAATCAAATCCAAACTGAAACACTAAACCCTGTCAACGGCCAAAGAAAACAAGCACTTTGGAGATGCCTGCGTCGTTCTTGTCAAAGCCTATGGATTCCTCCTCAAACATGCAACTAAGGCACCCAAGCGTCACCTCCAGCTGCTTTAGCTCCCTTCTATAGCCAACAGCTAGACCCTCTCAAAGAGCATTCTGAATTTCAGGGCACTTATCTCTTCCTGCCCACTACAGACAGAGGCTCAGCTGGATGCCTGAAGTTAGTTACAGACCTGGGCTCCAATCCTTCACACCTGCAGAATAGCCCCATCAAGGAAACATCACAAGCTGCTCCCAGCTCGGAGAAGAGTTTGCTATTTATGGGGCATGTTCACTACACTATTCCATAGCTGGTTAAAATAACCTGAGTTACAGGAAAAAGAAGGATAGCTCCATTTCAAGGAACATTAAGGAACAGGTTGCACATCGGTGACGTACGTTCAGCCATGGGGATTCTATTTCAAATAAAATAATCCACAATTTAAAGGAATCATTGCCCAGTATCAGTATTTCTGAGCTACATCTTTCTCTGCATGATAGAACAGATAGAGCAGGAGTAAAGGGAGGCATTTAGTAATGGCAGAGTTTAATATTGCTGCAGATGATGGTGTATCAAAAGAATATAGCTGACCCTTTCTCAGAACGAGAGTGAAACAAGCCTAGAAGATTTTCAAGAACAGAATCTGGAAAACAAACCAAAGCTGCTTTCTCGCAGACAAAAGCAGAATAGGAACATTTTTCTTGCTTAACTCCATTTTTTTTTACCTATCTCCTACTACAGTAGGCAGAGATTTTTTCCTCTTGCCTGGCAGGGAAAGAGAGTACATTGATATATTTTGGCAATGTCAACTATCAGCATATGGCCTTCCTCTGTTAGCGAGGAAAAAACTAAACTCAGGCATCTGGATTGGCATAGAAGACCCAAAAGGATCAGAATTTGCCGCAGAGTTTGGGAAAAAAAGTGTTCTGCCAACAAACAAGAAAGTGTTTAATGGTAAATTGCTTAAGAAAACCCCTCCTGAAAGCAGTCTTTAAAAGGACCTGGAAATATTTCAGAAGGTACTGCAGGAACAGGCTAAGGAGACAAGGTTCACCTCAGGGACAGATGAACCTCTGATTTGAGTCATCAGCCAGGCAATAGCTTAGGTTCCTGTGAGAACCATTGAAAAGGCACCAGTTTCAGCTACAACGTAGAGCTGCAAGGGAACAATGACTGCAAACAAGGTAGTTTATAATTACAGCTACAGATAGTTTATAATTACAAATAATTACAGCTGTGCTTCTGCAATATAGAAAGATTCTATATTCCCTCTAATTCTTTACCATACTAAGTGTTAAAGTCAATATTTTTGTCTAAAACTTAAGGCAACTAGATACAGCCTGCTTATGAAGCTGTTCAAGTCTAATCAATTTCAGTGAAAGAATTAGTCATTTGACAAGAGCAATGAAAAGCCTTAGGACTAAAGGGGAAATTTAATATGGATCTTCCTCCACTTTTCCCCTTTCCCACCAGATTAAGTGGTCAGTTTCCAAGTCTGCTCTGATTTGGGTCAGATTTATAAAGACAAGTTCCCTCCATTCCCCGAGGAAACTTCATGAGCTTGAATCTCATGCTTTGAATATACTTAGCAGTTTTTAAGTCTAAACATTACTGTCATTAGAAACGACCAGCTAGTTGTGTCAGGTACTCCAGGACTTTAGATTTGAGCTTTGTAAAACACCTTTACCTTTTGTTTTTCGTAATCCGGGTACGTCCAGTAAGATATACAGTTTCCAGCCAGCACACACCAGCGTCTATGCCATGCTCCGAATCCACTAACGTCTTCAAACATAGTCTTAAAAAAGTTTAAAAAACAATGTAACATTACACCCCGAGCTTTGCCTGTACTATTTTTTCCTACTGGAATGGTTCTGCCAGTACAACCCTTCGTAGGAGTAAGTGAAAGAAAAAAAAAAATATACTGTACTAATAGAAGTCTCTCCCAGGATGTATTTACTTCCCCGATAGCATAGAAAATGGACTTACACTATCATTCTCAAGTTTGCAACCTTTTGCTCAAAATATCACTATTTCAAGTCACTAGATTTTCATGTAAACAGTGCTAAGCATTCCTGTTATTTGAAGATAATGGATGGTTACTTATAGCTGATACAGGATGAACGGTTCACAAAACATGTATTAGTATCGCCTAATTGATTACAATTAGGCAGTTAGCTCATCTTTGACTTGCAATTCAGGATTACAGAACACTTGGCTATTCTGCAGGACACACTCAGGAGTCCAGTCAGTTTAAAAGAAATTAGAAATTGATTTTTAAAGTGTTTGTGTTGGCAGCTACTTTCCTGGATGCAGCATTATGCCAATTTCAAGCCCCATTTCCTTAGCACAGGAATGGAAAGTTTAGTATCTGCCTTCTATTCCTGATCCCTCTTGAACTTGTACAGAACTTTCTTTCTAATTAAATTTTGAGTGGTGTTTTTCAGTCTTCACAATTCATATCAGAGTTTTTAATGCTGCAGGGAGTTTTCAAACTCTTACTCTGAAAAAAATTGATTTGCATGTACACCATTCATCAGGCTTTACATATTATATAGTTGAATTAAAGAAGGCATTTCTTAAAGTAGTACACAAAAACATGGGATAGCAAATACCATAAGCATGTGAAATGTTTGCATCCGATGAAATCTGTTCGATTTCAATTAAGGGAAAGGAGACAGAACTGCTTGAAGAGAGTCTAAAGACACTCTGATTTCTGAAAATACTAAAATAACAGCAAATGTTAACGTTTTGCTGAAGTATTTTCATAGCACATTCACTGCCATCTGCTGGACACAAACTCAACAGCTTCATTTATTAGGCCCAAGTGCCACCTGCCTCTTCCAAGTCCAGTTTTAGAGAGAGAACTACTCAAGATGGTTCTCAAAAAATACTTGTGCTTCCTTGGAAGTCAAAGTTTGTGAACAAAGAGTAAAAAAAAAAAAAAATCAAATCTTTTGCTAGGGCAAATTTGGCTTTACTAGACCAAAAAAAAATAAATTCAAGATGTCCCGTAGAAGTTTCTGGCAGAGAGACTGGAATCTCATCTCACATCACAAATTATAGCAAGAGAAGGTTAACTGAAGTTCAGAAGAACAGATGAGAAGTGTTTAGAAGAAAAAGATATACAAACTCCTAAAAGGTAACTTTAATTTAGGCATGTTTAGCAGATAAATTAATTTTGAGGTCTGGTTCAGAGAGGGGTGGGGAAAAAAAAAAATAAGCAGTTTTCAGCTTCACAATCACTGCAAATACATGCATGAAGTTAACAAAGTGACTACATTTAATAGAACCTGCAATTTCCAAGGAAAGGATTTGAAATGAATGCCTTACCAAGAAGCCTTTCTCCTCCACAGAAGAGTCCACTTGGCATTTTAACTTTAGATATATATGACCTTCCAAAGGAGACAAAAAGGGAACCTGTGAAAAGTAAAACCATTAGTCATTTAATGTGGACACCTCTCAACTCCACCAGTTCAATCAAGCCACCTGCACCAGAGTTAACACTGTCCTGTTGTTAGGATCTTCAGCCAGAAAGCAGCAGTCAGGCTCAAGCAAGACAGTAATAATCACTTTTTGTTTCAAGTTCATTTAGAAGCTTTTCAAGGCTTGTTTACATATTAGTTTGCTGGGTACATATGCACAAACATGCTTCTATCTAGAAAAAAAACAGGCACTCCAAGCATGGTTAAAAACACAAGGCACCAGTCCACATCCTGCAAGCTTCTGTTTAAGCCTGACATTAAGCTGTTTGGAAAAATATCAAAATGGGCTTAAAAAGGATTGGTACTTGGATGCATTTATGGCAGATACTGACATAGTAGTGCCTACTCAGATCACTAGTTGTATAGAAGAACCTAGGAGGTGAAAAAGTAATGAAAGCAGTTCTCAACTGACACTCAAAGTGTTAAGTCAGTTCAAACAAAAGAGGTTCCAAGTCTTATCTTCTACCATTAAAAAAAAAAAAGCAGCCTAACTACCATACCAGAGGTTAGTTAAATGGGTATTCAATATTCAAAAGTTTAGAGGAGCAGCACACCACAAGGACTGCCTTTGGACTTCCCCCAGTCCCTCCCCACAGCACCCCACTGAACTGAGTGCTGTCAAAAAATCAGATCCTTTTTTAAAAAGATCCTTCCCCTAAGGAAGCTAAGAGACAAATTGCTAATTCAACAAGCAAACTGGCACAGCACCCCACTGAACTGAGTGCTGTTAAAAAATCAGATCCTTTTTTTTTTTGCCCCCTAAGGAAGCTAAGAGACAAATTGCTAATTCAACAAGCAAACTGTGATCTGCAGGGCATTTTACATACCATATTTTGTTGCTGATCTGAATAAGCAATACTGTAAGAATCTTGGAAAAAAAATAACGTCAGAAACATCCGTGCTTTGTCTCACTAGGGAAACTAGAAAGGCTGATGGTGCTACTCAGATACAAAGAAAGAACCATTTGCCAGGGAATAGGCATGTGCACACAATAGTGAAATAGCTTTTAAAGCCATGGAATTCACATTGATCAAACAGGATTAAATTTTAGTGGTAGTTAAGATGAACAAAAGTAACCCTCAGTAGTTAAAAGTGTACATCTGTAGGCCTGCAGAACACCAAAATAGATGTTGTGGTTAGAAAGGGATTGCCTCTGAGTTGTAGGGATACTGCAGCTTCCCCCCAGACACGGGATATGCAGGTGATCAAATCATTTTTACATGTTAGGTCTGCTTAATTATGACAGTGTGCATGGCTTGGCCCTAAAATATAGCACAGCAAAATTCTGACTATCGATGGTCTGCATGACCATTTGAGAAGCAAAAATAGTAAAATGTTTGTACATAGTAGAGTTTGTAATAAATAGTTAAAATAAAATAGTTTGCAATAAGTTGCATCAGTAATGGATTTTTATCAAAGACAACTCTAACCCTACGCGCTACGCCAGGGAATATCTGCTTATATCCTACCAAACCGCAGTGAAAGCAGTATCTGATTGAGGGCCTCAAGGAAGTTCAGCCAATTCCCCACTCCAGGTGTGTAGTTTTTGCACTCCTTTCTAATTTATGTGAAGGACAAAAGAAATCTACTTTGTGGATTATGAAGTTTACCAGTGAAGAGCTGTGAGACACTAAAGCAAAAAGGCTGTATGACAAATGGAACATATCCCTTACGCAGATCCTACACCACCATTACTAATTACTAAAGCAGGTCTCAAAACACCCTCCTGTGCACCTAATGAGAAAATATTCAATTCCAGTCAACAATATATCCCCTTCAAAAGGGAGTGGGGTGGAAAGCAAGCAGTTTGTTGACTATCCAGCTAGGTGAAAAGAGAACTAAAGCCCGTGACTAGGTTGGCTTACGTTCTGGTGTAGTCACTCATATCTACAAGAAATTGGCTTACTGTCACAGAAGATTATTTATAAAGATACTCAAGATAAATGTCAAGAATTTGCAAAAATTGGGTTCTTAGACTTTTTGATTAGAAATGGGAGATGACAGATACTAAAATGCTTAATTTTGAGAGAAAACATATAATCTAAAACACCTTCTGCTGAGGGATCCGAGGTAACTATTAACTAAAAACTGTTTTCAGAGATTAATGACCAATTACTTCTTTTAACCATATCAATTCACGTAATTGCTAAAGCAAGAAATGTATACAAACAGCAAAATATCTTAATTGCACATTTGCATACACATAAGAACCTCACGTTTTTACATGTTTAGTTCTTTCAAAGTTTTAGTTCTTTATGACTGCTTTTCCCTTAAAAAACAAAGGTCTTGACACAGTCTCAGTAGAATAAGAAACAAGATATTTAGTGTGCAAGTGATTTCTTTTTTTTTTTTTTTCAGTGGCAAAAAGCTGAGTTAAACTCACATTTAGGCCACAAGTCATTTTTTCCCTGGTCCTCTTCTCAGCAGAGTAGCTGATTCTATGTTCTGTGCAGTTCATCAAGAAATTGGCTCAAATTTCCTAACTAGCAATCTTTAAGAGACACATCAATTTGTTTTGAAGTAAGAAAACCCCTCCAGTGATATAGGAAGGCAAAAGGCACGTGCTAGTTAGGGAAAAACCCTAGGTGGCCCAAAGAACTTTGAGTTCTATCAGCATGTTTAGCACTGTAAGGGACAGGGGTAGAATTCTGCAAGTCTTAAAGGCTCCTAACATCTTATGTTCTGTTAGTAAATTTTTTTAAGCATTTTCCTAGAAGAATTAAACAAAAAAACCAAAATCAAATCTGCAAAAAGGTCAGCCAGCCATGAGCAACATGCACTAGGAAGCAGTTTCCTACTTCAAGTTATAAACTAAAGGATCATAGCAACCTTGTTCTGGAACATATAGCCCAACAGATCTTTTTCCTCCCCTTCAAAATTTATCTAGGGAAAAGAGAAACATGCTCAATGCGATTAGTGTAAAGTTAAGGTTTATAGAATAAAGGGCACAGTTACACATGAGTACATTTTGGCCCTTTCTACACTGAATTTAAACAATGCATATAAAAAGGGAAGAATAAAACTTAAAAAAACCCGATGAGATTGATTTCATATTACAAACACATGGAGCAAGGTAAAAGGCAGCTGTTTGGTACAGCCATGGGCCAAGTCAAAACCGGAGCTTTACAGAGGTGATAATTTAACAAAGTTATCTGACAGAAAGGGGAATTCTTATTGATAACTGTTGAAGTTTGCACATGGGAAAAATTAACCAAGTGGTGGTTTCCCTGGAATTCTATTTGAACCTTGTACTACAGTTTACTAGTCCAGTCCAGTGTCCTCACCTACAGAGTCAACTAAAAAAAGGTTTAAATTCAAATTGCTGAATATGATGTAAAAGCTGATTCCTGTAACTCCAAGAACAAGAAACTTTCAATAACCAAGCCATACACAAACTAAGGTGTCTACACACAGTTCTGGTTAAGAGGAACATTTATGATGAAGAACCCAAGTTGGCACTTGTGAAGCTCACAGAGCAAGTAACAGCAGTGCAATTCCACTAGTCAGTTCCGCAGACTCTTTCAGTAAAGGACCCTGCTTCTATCCATAAAAAATAAGTTATAAGAAGCAAGGTGCAATTATTGTGATTTTTTTTTTAATCTTGTGCACAAACACAACCAATACTTGTTATCTCAAGCTATAATTGCAACACTACTATGATCACAATAAGACTTAATTAGCCAAGAAGAAAATTTATTCTTATGCTGCTGTTTGGATAGATAAAACTGTAATTTAGCACTACCATAACCTGCAGTAGCTTTTGAATTAATTGAAGTTAGCTTAGGATAGCTGCTGGCATAAACACCTATTAAAATAGGTTTCAGGTATAAGATATGAGTTTAGAACGCAAGAACGCATTTTTTAACTTTTAATGGTAAGAACTAATAAACGTGTTCTGTTTAGACAAAACTAACAGTATAAAATTCAATAATATTTCAAAACATAGCTTGTGTCTACAAATTTAATTGGGAAAGAAAACTCATACTCCTAACAATATTCAAATGGCAATTTTAAAGTGAGTTAAATATAGAAAATTTCAAATACTTAATTGTCATTAAAACACACTTAATGTTTGATTTAGCAATAACTGCAAGACTAAGGGCAACAAACAACATAAAGACCAGGTACAGAGATGCCAACTGCATACATCAATTTTTTTGTCAGTGAAAGCAATTCAGTAACCAAATGCCTTCATTATCTTTGCATAACCATAGCTTAGATTGAGCTACAGAAAGGAAAGAACATCTGGCATAATGCCTTCAGTCTTTTTCTGTTGTGTCTCAAAATTCTATTTCAGTCATACGAAAATAGATGTGAATAACAACAGCTATACATTATATATGTGTGTGTATACATATATAAATAACATGTATAAACCTACATTGCAGTCATGGGATTGTGATTTTGCCTGAAAAGAGTAAACCCAGACTCATATTCATTTTTCTGGTAGCATGCAATTACCTTTGGATTAGTAACCAATAATTTCCATTACCTTGCTCAATGCAAATTTGGCATTTCCTACAGAAGACAGCGATAGCTTGTGGGATCCAACGAGGATAAAATTAGTAGTGCGTACAGCATTAGGGCCACCTGGGCTGGCCATGGCTGTGGAGAAAAAAAAAGTTAAAGTCATAATGTAACACACAATCTTAAAAAGGCTTTATTTACACTACTGTACACGTGCCCTACTCAGTCCTCCAGGAGAAGCACTCTTTGCAGGGCTGTGCAGCCCAACAGTATATTCAGAAAGGATCTTGGTGCCTACGTTTCTCCCCAGTACAGAAGTGTTGAAATATTCATAAAGAAGATGCCAAAGCCTTTCAGAAAGAAGCGTTGAAATATTCATAAAGAAGATGCCAAAGCATTTTAAGATGTCTTAAGATGTCTCAGGGGGACAGAAAGCACCCTAGGGCACACTACAAAGCACATATGCCCTGCAGTAGGAACCTGACTTTCCAATCTCTTCACCTTTTCCCAAAAGACATGCTGTAGTCTTCCAGAATCTACCTACATTCCTCTTTGCACTTTTATCACTAGAAACAAGCACTATGGCCCAGGCACAGGCATCTGACAAGTGGCAGCAGCACAGTAGACATTCTAGAGTTAGTTCATGAGCTCCTTGTTGCTGCAGTTTGTACTAAAGGTAGCTCAAGTATCTCATACTGTAGTCAGACAAGTGTATAACACATTTTTTATGTTGTTAGAAAAAAAACTCGGAGATGCTGTTCCTCTCGCCCAAGAGTCAGAAATATATAAACATGTTAAAAACATTACATACAAGCAACACTTCAGAATCTGTTTGTATTTTCAATTTTGCTCTGTATTGCTTTGTTGACATCAGACTCTAGTTCAAAGTTTTAAAATTCATTTGATTTCACCTTTTCAGGTAAACCACAGGCATCTGATACCAGATATTAATTTTGATTTTGTGACAAGATCTTCCATTAAATGTAATGGTAACTTGGATATAAACATAGGGCCAGTTTCTGAGCTGACAAACTGACATCGTTCTGGGCTTATTACTCCCAAATTATCATCTGTTACAAGTAGTATTTGTTGATATACTGCTTTAGACAGCAAGTGTAGATTGTTCATCTCAGCATCAAATATTTAGATTTTACTTACCTGGAGTAAGGAGTGTGCTTTTCTAGAAAGAGAGAAAGAAATAAAAGCTTGTTAGAAGTTACATTTCCACTACTTTCTACAGAAGACAAAACCAGGGTAGAAAGAAACTTGATCTGAAGTAACAAGCAAACAACAACTTGAAAAGAAAGCCCAAATAAATATGCAGTCACTGCATATTTCCAGCATTACATATTTAGAGCTTTTAGCTGTTTCTTGAGCTGAAGAATTTGGCAGAAAGCTGGATGGTTTCTGGAGTTTCAAGTGTGGGACACAAAATGCTTACTATGGGCATGGCCTTACTCAGTGTGAGGATATGGCCTTTGAAAGTGGTCATAACCAGATCTTGTTAAAACATTACATTCATACTTACGGAGGTAATAGACGTTAATAATCTCTTTGGAGTAATAACCTACAAAAGAATATACAAAGATAAATGCCTTTGCTACCAAATTTGTCCATCACATTAGCATGAAAATTAGACAATGAAGTTACTGAAGGCTTATCTAAATAAATTTTGAACGGATACTAGTTGGAATGAGTAAGTCTTCTTTGTCTGAGTGTAAGACTTCAGTGGGAGGAATGCTACATATCAAAGAAATATTTGCTGCAGAAAAGTTTAAGTGTGCATTAGCTCGGGATGGACAGCATGCATTTGAAAAAACAAACTTTGACATTTTTCCTTCATGGAATGGGGCTTCAAAGTTTCATTTGCTGTTTAACAGTTAACAATACAAGTAGAGAGATGTTCAGTGTGCTACTGTTGTATATTATCTATATTTTCAAGTGAAAAATCTTAAGTAAGACTTGAAGCTTGTTAAAAAGCAGATACAGGACATCATCAGCAAACCTATAACCCCTCTGCCAAAACCCTTCAGTTTTAAGCAAAGATTCCTTTACACTACAGCACAGGAGAGAAAGAAGCCCTGGACTTCAAACTAGCTTTATTGGGGAATAGGTGGAAGCATGCTTTCACTGCACCAAATTAAAGATTAAAGAAACTTCCTATTCCTGTTTGCAATGGAGAGGATTTAAGTATTCATTCCAACGGTTTTGAAAGACACTCAAATTTCTGGTTTTTATGAAGTGACAGATAAGGAGGGAATTAGACCTAAAATCATTAGTACATGGGTATGCCCAGCTATTGGAATGACAAGAAATAAACAAAACAAAAAAAACTCTCTCACACACACACCCCCCAAACAAACCACCACACAACCAAAAACCACACCTCCAGAAAGCCATTGGCTTGTTTGGTGTCACAAAGCCTTACTAAAGCACAAACACTTGAGATATGCACCCTGTCCAAGATGAAATTTTTATGTCCAAGGAATTATTAAAACATTTGCTTTAAAAAAAAAAAAAGCATCTAGTGCTTTTACTTAACACTGGGCAGAAAGAAGTGTTGCAGTTGATCAACAGAACCTCTAAGACAAATCAAACTGGGCATATTGACTGGTGTAGTTTAAGTAGAAAGCATGGGCACTGAATCATTATCAGAGGCACCACACCTAATAAATAAAAGTTTGCTAAACATAGCATTTTGCAGCACTAGTAGGGCTACTTCTCCTTCCCCTCCGAAATATTTCAGACTCAACTGAGTGCTGCAGGTCCAATCTACTAATAGCTGCAGGTCTCTATAACCTATCTGTCATTGCAGATGTTCCAAGAAAGAACAAGATAACTATTAGTCAGTTCTCCCTGAACACTGCAGTCATCCTAGTGCACCTTCTGTTGACATACAACTATTGATTTTCGTGTTTAATTTACCTTGGATTTATTTGCCTTTTTCCTTTTATCAGTGCTTGTAACTTCTTTTCTCTGCACCTGTAAGGCAAGAAGGTATTAAGAAAGTACAACACATCATTCTCCCTTACCCATCCTCTTGACAGGAGCTTATACATACCAAACTGTAAACTTCTAGATTTATTTCAAAGTCATTTGACACATCATGCCTAAAAGGGAGGAGAAGGAAAAAATAAATTAAACATAGACTAAAACAAAGTTTGTGGGGTTTTTTGGTGTTGTGGTTTTTTTTTTTTTTAAAGTTACTCTTTATGTTCTTCCCTCCTTCCACTCCTTAAAACCCTCCAGGGAGCAGCTAGGTTCTACGCAAGAGAAGGTAAACCATGGTGGTGACTAATAGCTATTACCTTATTAGTAAGTCAGTTTGTCCCTGCAGGCCAATAGTGGTTTTTGAGATCCTGTCACATCTATGACAGTACTCTTCAGTGCAAGCAGCATTGCTGGTTTTAAGATTTGAGGGTATAACTATGTCAAGATACCTTCCAGAACTCAAAGAAATGGAAGGAGGACAAGAGGCAGACAGAGTGCATCTACCATTTCTCAGATTGCACCCTTCAGCCCACTCCTGCCACACATTTCTAGAAACAAAGCTATCTACTCAAAAAGCCCAACCTCTAAGTAAAAATTCCAGTTGGGCTGCACTTTAAAAAGGGAGTTTACTTATTTATTTTAGAATACTTTCGCTAACAAAGAGCCATTTGAACTCACAACACTTTTTAAGCTAACATACAAGAGCTGAGGTTTAAGCTTTGAAAGTACTATTTTTTCCAGATACTAAAACCAAATAGCTATATAAAGTGTTAGTTGCTGCAAAAGATAAAAAACCACATCAACTCAAATCCATCTGTCATTGCAGATGTTCAAGAAAGAACAAAAGTAGAAAAAGGAAGAGATAAATCAGCTGATGGATGATCGAATAAATCTAAATTGCTCTTTTGAGAGAAGTCCACTCCAGCTATTTGTTGAAGCAAATACTCATACCACAAGACCTCACCATATTTGTTTGCAGGATATAACATCCTTCTGTGAAGATTTTAAACATTTTTAGGCATACTCCGCCATCAGAGCTGAAACTGGTTCCAAAACAGTTTCTTTATACTTACAGAGCAAATGTTGTATTGAAAGTAAGAGCATCTCCATTCAGGGAGCTCGCAGTACTTGCTAGTGGAGTTGCAACCATGTTTTCTGCTCCAGATCTCAGTATTATTACATAGTAGTAATTTGCTGCTTCTGTAAATACAGATCAGATGGTTTTGTTAGCCAGATGGTGTCCAAGTATCTAAAACCCCTTAAGTACTACATTGCCATTAAACACATTTGTTTCACCCCACTTAAACACTTGGTTACAGTCAAGGTTTGCTTATGAACTAAACTCTTAAAACAAGCTTTTTTTTCCCCCCGTGGCCACTGTGAGACTGTCTTCGTGGGACCCACAACTGTGTTACTGCCTGGGGCACCTTGGGCCAGACAGACACTGCCCAGTGTGTGAGAGTAGAGAGGAAGAACTTGCAGTCAGATAGAGCAGTTCATCTTAGGTCGTTACACTCCGTTGTTATTCTCCAGGCCTGCCAGCTTAACCACACCTCAGCTTTTGCTCCTGCCCATTCTCGTGCTTTTTTCAGTCTTACAAAGGCCCTGGTTATCCAGGCAACTAATTTCCCTAACATTTTGCATGAGGGAACAAAAAAAAAAAAAAAAAAAAAAAACCCCAAAAAAACACACTAGTACTACATTGCCATTAAACACATTTGTTTCACCCCACTTAAACACTTGGTTACAGTCAAGGTTTGCTTATGAACTAAACTCTTAAAACAAGCTTTTTTTTCCCCTGTGGCCACTGTGAGACTGTCTACAGGGGACCCACAACTGTGTTACTGCCTGGGGCACCTTGGGCCAGACAGACACTGCCCAGTGTGTGAGAGTAGAGAGGAAGAACTTGCAGTCAGATAGAGCAGTTCATCTTAGGTCGTTACACTCCGTTGTTATTCTCCAGGCCTGCCAGCTTAACCACACCTCAGCTTTTGCTCCTGCCCATTCTCGTGCTTTTTTCAGTCTTACAAAGGCCCTGGTTATCCAGGCAACTAATTTCCCTAACATTTTGCATGAGGGAACAAAAAAAAAAAAAAAGACAGATGACCACAAGCACACATCTCAATAGGAAATAATTTGGAGTTTCTGCAGCAAATTACTGAAGAGTAAGGCAAGAGGCTCAATAATGCCAAGTGCTGGGTCCTGCCCTTGGGTCCCACCAACCCCCTGCAGCGCTCCAGGCTGGGGGCAGAGTGGCTGGAGCTGCCTGGCAGAAAAGGACCTGGGGGTGTTGGTCACCTGTGGGCTGAAGATGAGCCAGCAGTGTGCCCAGGTGGCCAAGAAGGCCAACAGCATCCTGGCCTGTGTCAGGAACAGTGTGGGGAGTAAGAATTGGGAGGGGATGGTTCCCTGGACTGGGCACTGGGGAGGCCCCACCTTGAGGGCTGTGTCCAGTTTTGGGCCCCTTCCCACAAAAAAGACCTTGAGGCGCTGGAGCAGGTCCAGAGAAGGGCAAGGGAGCTGGTAAATTAGGTTAATTAGGCCAGATATTTACATTTATATTCTTGGCTGTGGTTTTATTTGAAGATATAAAAAAATCCCCAAACCAAACCCCCACACTTTTACATATATATAGGACATTTAAACAAGAGAATGAGAAAGGCTACATATGAATTCATTAGTAGAAGTTTTGCAACTGATATTAAACAAGACTCTGTCCAATGATTTTTGGCCTTGAGTTTTAGTGAGGCAAGAAGTAGGAACCAGTTCAGATACAATCGTATTCTGTGGCATCATATAAAATAGCTCTGGTTATTGTGGGCTTGCAGATTCTTTGAACAACCACATGGCAGAAGCTTACTACGTTCCAGGATAAGTCTCTAAGCTAGAGAGAGAATTGCCAGATATTCTTCTGGAACAAGAGAAGAAACAAGTCCACATTTTAATGCTTTAAGCACTTAAATATGACAAGCTAATGGAAGACTAGTCTTGGAAGATTAAGTATTTTGGGGATTTTAACAGAAGGACTGAAAAAACAGAAGCTTAATGAGCACTTCACAACACCACAGAGGTTGCAACTTATGTAATGATATTTAGTACTAGACTTGCAGCCATCAGAAAAATTTCAAGGCAGCAAGAGAGAAGACAACCTGAGATACAAAACTCTACTTCCTCCCCAACAGGTAACAGAGGATCACAAAGATCTTTAAGACTGGATGGGGAAGTCTTGATAAGTTTCTTGAACATCACAAGCCAGAAAAGGTTGCAACTGAACCAACCATGAAAAATGTTGAAAGCTTAGCCAAAAAAGCAGATGAATTAAGTGTAATGGCTAAATTTTCATTGCCCCCAGAGTTCTGACAAACACCAACACAAAAGAAAAAAAAAAACAAGGAGAATGAACTAGAAATATAGGGAGAATGGAGAAAGGGAGAGGGAAGGGATAAAGCTTTCAGTTGCTAATTTTACCTGGCTTTTGAACCGTACCACACACAAAGTCTGCTTTTAGAGGTAGACGCATTTCTGAGATGGAGACAGATCCCCTGGATGGAGCAAGTTCGGTGGATGTAGAAGCAGTTTTGTTTCTTTTATTGTGAGGTCCCTCACTCTTCAGTTTGTTCAGCTCTTCCAATAGAGCAGTTCTTTTCTCAGCTGCATAGAGAAATTAATCAATTATACTTTTAAGAGGGAAAAAGTAGGACTGAACAGTTTGGGGGTTTTTTTGCCATGAGTCTGGAAAATGCAACAGAAGTGTTAATCATCTTCCAGAACAGTAGGAATATCAGGGACAAGGAAGACACAAACATCCTCTTGCCTACAAAAGCAGCTGAGACAGAACAGATATCCTCTCCTGTTTTCCAGGTGAGGAGCTACAAATAAGCAGCTACAAGGTAGCACAATAAAAGCACTGCCAGAGTTCATTAATTTTTCCCAAAGCGTTTATGACAAAGAATTCAACCTGAGTCTAAGAACCTACTTGCAAGGAGAAGAAGTCTCTCTGCCTCTGCTTCTTCTTGTGATCCTTTTCCATGTTCCTCATCAAAACAGCAGTTCAGAGCTTGACTGGCTTGATGAATCACTGTCTGCTGCATGTTGATCTCATTATTCAGCTCCTAGAGTAAATCAGTAATAAAAATAATTAGCAAGAAGAGAGAAATTTGGCATTACATTCAAACAGGGAAGTGTCTTGAGCAGTTAACCAGAAATTCAGCAATGTAGGTGAACAAGGCACCAGTAAATATCAGAATATTGCCTAAAGAAAGTATACATTTATCAATCTTGCCTAATTCAAAGGCAGCAATAAAGTATAGATTTCCCCTCCTCAAAACGATGGCTTATTCTCTCCAGACTTACTCTGTAGCATGATCCTTCTAAGAGATGCATTAGCTGTCCAAATTGTGCACTATCATTCCCTACCATTAGATACTTATGCTGAACAAGCTAGTTTTGCAGTTCTAAGCAGTACATTAATGTCCTGGACATTCACAGGAGAAATTAAGAAAGGAGATGGTAAATTAGAGAAAGGATTTTTAAGGAGTAAAATAGATACCTGCATTTTCTTTTTGATATTGACTTGATCAGACGGGCCATTCTTTTTCATTTCTAGTTTGGAAGCAGCATCTTCTTTGCGAACAATTATTTGCTTTATTGAAGGACGATCAGTTTCTTTAAATCTTTGAGATCTATATGCATCAACGCTTTTAAAAAGAGGGAACGCCATTAAATGTTTCAGATATATGCCAAGCTTTTTTTCTTATCAATATACATACATAGGCATCAGGTATTGATGTTTTCCATCTTGCCTACATGGCTTTAAAAACAGCATTCTATTAGCTCCTTTGAAGTTTAAGCAATGTAAAGACTACACAGAGACAATCTTTGATAAAGGCAGAGATCTTGAAAAAAAAAGCTTTGTCTGTAGCTTAAGCAGGATACTTCATTAGAAGAGTTTAAAGAGTCAGTGTCTTAATTTGCACATTTAGAAAATCAGGTGTAGGTTTTTTGTGTTTATTACCTATATGGAAGGTTGCGATCTTCTGATGTAGAGCCAATACTGTCTCCAGATTCTGCCCTGGGGACTTTAGTCCTTTGGAACTTTTCGGACTTCAGACTTACATCACTGATACTGCTACCTTCAGCAGGTGACTTACAAGGAGAACCAAAGGCCTGGGGAGAAGAAAAGGATATATTACAGATATCAGTCCGCATTAATTCTTTAAGTGCTTTCTTCTCACCTTTACTTCTTTTGCATGTAAACAGAAAACAGAGGCTACTTAACACTGCTAAACAGACATTTTACAGATATTTCCTAGGACACAGAACAAGCCAATTATTTGTTTAGTTTAAAGGCACCAACAGATCATTGAACTCAAGGAAATTTCACCCTTAGTTTCCAAACTGTACAGTTACATAATTACTTCTCTTCAGATTTTCATCAGTGACCACTTTATTGAATGCACGTGTATCACTGAAAAGTCAAGCACAAGTAATAGTTGTACATACTTAAGCTTGATTTAGCAAAAGTTAAATCATTTGTTAGTAGAGCACCCAATACACTATGCTATTTTCAGAGGAAAATAACTACCCTTTTATGCTTTCATTAGCAAAATGTCATTTGTAACTTCACGATTTGCCCAAGTATCACAATGCAACAAAATATCACTGTTCACAAGCAAGTTGTCTATCTCTGTGTGATAAAGCATCTCGTCCCCAACTCCTAAGAACTCTCACCTCTGGACCAACAGATTCCACGAGAGGGGTTAACAGAGACATTGATGAAATATTCAGCGACTCTTCCTGCTCATCCTCATCACTTTCACCTTCCAGGCTCATTTCTTTCTTCAGCTTTTCTATGTCTGGACCATCCTCTTCAAGAATTTCAAATATTTCATTTATCACTTTCGAGCTATTCATCTCATCATCCACACTCATTTCGATTTCACATATATCATCTGAAGTGTGATGTTTTAAAAAATATTAGTATCATCAAGACTAAACTCTTCATTCTCATTAAATGAACAGAAGGCTAACAAACAAGTTAACTATTTTTGCTTTTCAAGCAAGCTTGATTAAAAAGCACTTATTACAGTTAGGCATATAGAACCCTAAAGTATACTTCCATCCTTATTTTAATATACTATTTTCACATATACTGCATAATTGATAGATAGAAAATAAAAATATGCACTTGTTAGATAAGTTTCAACTTTTTAGTTCAAACAGGTCTGAAACAACCGCAAGTCCCATGGTGAAGCAATCATTTCTCTCCTTTCCCAATAAACTTTCAATATCAGCATTTTACTATTCCTTCAAGACTTGAACATCAAGAAAGAAGGGTTACAATAAAAGAAGCTTCCCAGTTTGTTTTACATAAACCTCATTACAAAACACACAAGTGTCAGCAGACAGCCAAGTGCATTAATATATATCTACTCCATACAAACCTTTCGGTTTCTCAGCAAGTTGTTCAAGTTTTCCAGGGCCCTTTGGTTCACTTATCTCCAGAGGGCTGCATTTATCAGTCTCTTCACGTTCAGGAGCATCTAAGTAATTTATAAAAAAGGTCATTGAAGATTATATCTAGCCTTTGAATTTATTTTTTTTTTCAAATTATTGAATTTTGGAAGTTTAATATAGCTAGATGAAGTATTCCAGTTAGCTTTTTGTCAACAACAGAGCATTAGAATACACACCCTCCGTAACCTGTACAGCTAGATTGCTCTCTTATAATCAGAAAGCTGACAGCGCAAGAAACAACGCTGAAATCATAGTAGATTGCACTCACTCAAGAGCAAAAAGGGAAAATTTAAAAAACAAACAAAACCGCCACCACACAAATCACCACACACCCAAGCCAAGAGCAGGACATCATCCTGGTTTTCCTAGAAGCACATTTGACAGCCTGTTTGCCTATAAGAAGTGTTAAACAAGTTCACTCTCTTTCCAGAGAGCTGGAGGCTCTTCCACTCAGTAAGCACCACAAAGCACGTCACCAGTATCTCTGAATTCTTTTGACATCCCCCTACTACAAGAATTAATATCATAAGGGGATACAGACAAGGGAAGAGTTCTCTCCTATTTGATTAGTGGGGAAATTTGGATACTCAGGTACAGTACAGATTTAAATCTATAACTGATGATTCCCATTCACTCTCCCTACATTTAACGTGCATGAAAGTATGAAACATAGGTAAACCAACTGAGAAAGAAAAAGGCAGTCTTGCCTTTCAAATAGTATAGGAGTGCAGAGTGTTCATACATCATCATACAGGAGGATTGAGACAAGTCAATAACCAAATAAGAGGTCCAGTTTTATACATCAGTGCTACCAGCCTCTTTGTCTGCTCATGAATGTCAAGGGTAGTGCCTCAGCCCAGTATTAGCCACAGGCAAACAGTGACTGTTCTTACCTGAAGACTCCGTGCTGGGAGACTTTGCCGGCTCGTCACCTGCCGATCCAGTGGCATCAGAACTAGGAGGTGGTTTTGGACTAGCCTGAGATTGGCTTTCCTGGCAAAAATAAAAACATAGCACATTCAGGAGGTAATGTTCAAAGTGACCAAAAAAAAAAAAAATAAAACCATTTCCAGAAAGAAACATATTTTAACATCTGGTAGGAAAAAGAGGTTGCCTATCCAATATCAAGAAGGATCCAACTTGTTTGCGTATGAAATTCAGCTGAAGTACTAAATACTAAATTGAGTGTTTTTGTGAGGAGCTTTGTTTTTAAAGTTATAGAATATAAAAAACCCACACTCAACATCATCAAATAAATAAATAAATCAGCTTAAAGCAGTATCATTACTTGTCTCCTTAACTGATTCTGCAGGAAGAAAAAATCTCGACAAGCAGACTTGCGCAGCCTGAGCATTCACAGAGCATAGGTTTTTATCTTTTATTTACATTTGCACATCTATCCCTATGTTCAGAACACGTTAAAGCAATTCACAGGCTATCAACTTTTGATATGTGGAGATAACACATTACCATTTTAGCTTCTGGAAGCTTTCTCTTCAAATTTCCACTTTTCTCTGTACTCCACAGATTTCCCCTATCAAACCGGCCACGTAGACATGAAAGTTCTCGTTCACGTTCCTAAGCAAATACAAGGGAACAAGGGAAAAGGTGGCAGCTTTAATGTCAAAAACATTTCAGATTCCTCAAGTAGATGCAGAACAGTAAGAATCTTCCCCCAGCTTATAAGCAAGCTATTAACATAGCAAGTCATACCTGCTTAAGCTGAAGCGCTAAACTGGCAGTAGAGGAATTATCATTCTGTTTGAGAAGCCTTTCCTGGATTGTCCTTGTCCGTGGGGTGACAATGGGTGTTCTGCACTCAGGTGTATTTGTAGCAGGACTCCGGGCACTACGCTCTTGACAGCGCTCCCCAAAGCGTTCCAGGAAGGGCTTAATTCCCGATCCCCCTACAAGAACAATTGTTTTACCTTGAAAGAATCTCTCGGAAACACAGAAGGAAATCACTGCCATTTTGCATCCTACTGAAGGTTCTCAATGAAGCAATTAAGCTGTCTCCTTTACAGCTCTTGCTCCGTTATACTTTATACAAACTGAACCTGAAATGCAAGTCACCGCAGTAACAGAACACTGAAGTTAATAAAGCAGCAGATCAGAGCAAATAGATTTCCTTCTCTTACTAGAGTCCACATGTGATCCACCAGTTATTTAAATGGGTTTGCTTTTTTGACATTTTCCCTACAACCAGCCTCACCTGCATCCTTCATGTAAATGAACATTCTAGTACACAAGGTGGATACATCGTTTGGCATCCAGCCTACTTTATTGAGCTTATCTTTTACCGTCAGCATATCTAGAGACACACACTTGCTCTACTGGCCATCATTTCAAAGAGTTCAAGCTATTAGTCCAAGTTTCTGAGCCCACAAGCAGCTGAATTTAAAACTGGGCATGATTATTTGTTTCAACATCAACGCTACCAATGAAAAAAAAGACACTATGCAGAGTTACGGCATCTACGGGCATTTAACTTTGATTTCTTCAAATGTATGAAGACTCTTTACCTTATATAGATTGGATACACTTAGTATCCAACCATTTGAAAGCAGCTTTGAATAGTCTCAATTAACTGATGTTGACAGGATACATTTTTACATAGAGAGAAAAGTTAGATGGATTTTGCTCTAAAGAGTTACTAAAATCATCTCCAAGAAAACACCCTTGCAAAATATGGAAGCTGTAGAATTTCTGATAATTATCATAGAACTCTCCAGGACTTTACTCAAGTTGCAGCAGGAAACAGACATTATCTGATACATTACCATAAATTCTTAACTAATATATTATTTTCAACACAGGACACATAAGCCTAATTTGAGTGAACATTTATTGAAGCTGATGAACAGCTTACCTGGTGTTGTGGGTGTAGCCTTAGGTTCAAGTTGCACATGTGTTCCTTTGACTGGCTCTTCTTTGGACTGAACTGGTTGAGGCACAGTTGATTTTGCTGGTTGTGTAGGCTTCTCGGTTTCCTGAGGGCTGCAGGGATTCTCTGTTTGCAGTTGTCCTACTTCAGAGTCTTTAGAACAGGGAACAGTGACTCTCGAGGTTTGTGTTAAAGAATTGTTTGGCTCCTTAAGAAGGGAAGAAGGCACATCAAGATGATGAGACCGTATGTCCTTATTCTCTCGAGGAAAAAGAATGAAAGTATTCTGCATAGCCTACTATAACATAACACATCTATTCCATCAACATTAAAAAGAGCTGAAAACAAGTGTTATAAGCTTTTTGTAGATTTTTCTTTTTATCCAGTATTTCAAATTCTTTCAGCATTTGATTCTAGGTGCTTTTGCCAGCTATTTTAGGTATCTTCCCATGTTTCCCTAAACAAGGCTGCACACGGAAGATACTACTATTTCATAAACTGAACAACAGTATCTGGTACTATGGATTTCAGCACTCCAACTGAATTTTCATACAGCAATAATAATTACAATTTAAGTCAATCAACTACGTGAAGTTACAGAGTGAAACCTTCCAAGTCCAAAATTCTCTGTAAGAAGCCCCCTTCTGATGGCCAAAAGAGCAGCAATTACTTTGATACCAACTTTTCCAAGACCTGTAAGTACACTTGTCTTCAAGTCTCAGTAAAAGGGATTCTAAGCTGCTTCAGGTCTGTTATTTAATTTATGTGAGATTGCAATAAAGCAAAACCTGTAAATAGTCTAAAGATTGCTCACACCAAATCTTTTAATTCAGAATAAACAGTTACGAGTTAACATTTTCCTCTCCCCCCGCCTCCATTACTCAAATCAATTTTTAATCAGCAACTAAATCAGACACTCACCGCTATCTTTGAGTTTGCTGGTTTATTAATAGAAGCCTCAACAAGCCTTTGAGAACAGGATGCAGCTTCCTGCTTTACACTGCTACTATTGATTCTAGCAGATGCTCCACTTGTAGTGGACAATTTGGATAAACAAGTAGTGCCAGGCTGTTCTTGTGCATTGTTTTGCTTTGCAGATGGATGACTTAGGTCATCTTCCCAGGAAGCAATTGTAGCAGCAAGGTTAGCTAAACGGCCTCTTCTCCCAGTAGGGGTGTCACTTGCCAGGGCATTAGATGTCTGCTTAGGTGGAGAAACAGGCACATCTTTTGACTGGAGGGGAGATAGAGGAACGCATTCAGAGGGATCTGGAAAAGAGAAAACATGTTTATTTTGCTAAGAAAATATATTGAGATATACTGGCACGTTTTGCATTTTGCTATATATTGAGTTTATCAACAGAAGTTCTTGCTATCAACAGAACCGAGCTACTAGCTCTGAAGGCATTGAGACTAATCAAGTTAAAGCTCACTGCAAAGCCAATGCATTTTTAATCAAGCACTTAACTAGTTTTATGTCACTGTTGTGATGAGCAAGGCATCACACAAGTAAGGGGGGAAAAAAAGTGTATAAATAGGAGCTGTAGTCAATAGTTTCATTATTTTAGGCCTTCCTTACTGCTGTTTAAGACTTCTTTATGAAGTCTTATTCACACACATGAAATTATCTTCTGCTAGCAAACATCGTCATCAACACAAAGACTGAAAAACACCAGTACTGCTCAACAGGTGAGCCATACCCTCGCCATCCCAGCAGCGCCGCTGCGCTGCCAGTTTCTGCATACGTGTCTTGACTGAATGGGCTACAGGAGTTTCTGACTCCGTGCTTGCTTTTCCTTTCTCAAGAGGCTGAACCGATGGAGCCCTGTTAGAAGCAGCCACGTGCAACTCCGAAGTCATCCCAGGAGAACGATGGCTCGTGGAACCTGAAGGAACTGGCTCTATGTTCTCCAAACTGGAAGGTTGAGTCTCCATATTGTCAGGGCAGAGCCTCTTCGATGGCGATGGCTTTGTACTAGATTTCACTGTACAGGTCAAAGTATGCAAGCAAATTAGCATTCAGACAATCTAAGATATTTTCAGAGAGAATACAAAAAAAAAAAATACACCTCCCATCTAAATTCTACCAAGCAGGAGGCACTATCTTTGGCATTATAAAATTATTTTAAAATAGCTTACTAATTACTTAAGCATCTGCTCTCAGGTTAAGCTAAATGTCAGCCACATTCAGTCCTGGCAGCCAGGTAACTGCATTCATTTCTGTTTAGTTTAAGATAAACATTAAAGGTTTTCACTTGTCCTTAGGGAAAAAAAAAAAATAAAAAAGTAAGTAGTGCTTGTATCAAAATACAATCTTTATTAAACTTGTTGCAAAATACCTTCTTCACCAGGAAGAGATGCCTGGTTACCAGTCTCTAACAAAGGCTCTCTGACCCTCTTGGTCTGCAGTGGGGGTCTCGCTCCCATCTTGGGCCGCTCAGCCATTTTCTTCTGCAGGTTCTCTCTCCTGGCACGGGTTCTTTCAAGGAGTTTCTGAGTAGTCAATAAATGATGGGTTACTGTACATTGCAATAAGTGTGTTAACTAGTAATAGCTCAAATTAAAAGTGTTTGAATTTTATATACTATATACGAAGATTTACAATTTCCAAAATTTATAGTGAAGGCTACCTTAAAACAGAGCTCTCGGATGTTGCTAACTGATCTACTGCAACACAACAGAAACACTCAAAGCCTGGTTTTCTGACAGGCTGCCCCCTCCTGAGAGCAGAACAAACAAAATACATTTTCTACACTGCCAACTACATGTTTTTTCTCTTTTTCTGTCTACCTCCTTTTTCTCATTGGGATAACCCCAGTCTCCATACTTTGACTTCACTGTTGCAATACTCGCAGCTTCTCCCATTTTCAGCAAGTATGTATTTGATAAAAGGTAGCTCCCAATCTGTAAATTGGATTTTTTTGACATGTTGCTAAAGCATATGGTCAAGTTACCTGATTGGCACTAACACTTTAACAAAAAAAACAACATTGGAGAGGTTGCGAAGTGGTCATAAAAAATTTTCAAAGTAAATGCATGGCTGGTAATATTAGAAAAAAAAAAATCAAAAGGTGAATTTCTCATCCCTGAGCCAAAGTAAATGCATGGCTGATAATATTAGAAAAAAAAAATTTGCTATTACACCTTCTAAATCAAAAGGTGAATTTCTCATCCCTGAGCTTAAATTTTAAGAACAGAGTGATGTTATAACTAGCTGTCTTAATAAACAGGCTATTTATCACAATATATCTGTATACAGAAGAACATATAAAGAGATGCCAATTAAGCTACCTAACAACATTCTCTTTCATTTACAGATCTATTGTAAATTTGAGCACTCTGATTATATTCAATACAAAATAGCTGTTTTAGTAAGTGTTCCACATTAGTAGAAAGTCTTTCCTTAGAGCAGCTAAGTTTGAAATAGGTTGGGTTTGTTTTTTTTTCTTTTTTTAATATTGCATTCATAAATCATTATCACTCAGTTTGATCACATCTAAAAGATACTTAATTACTCCTTTAATCTAGGTTTTTAGGCACTTTGAGACAAGAAAATGTGTGATAGAACTAATGGCCTTTAAAGGGAAGCATATAAACTGCACTTGTTTTGTGGCACATAAATTATTGTGAGAACTATGCCAGCCATTATCTGTCACACAGCAATTAAATACACATTTCACATTTTTAACTGTCTAAAGCTGAAGTCTTAGACAACGTTCCATTGTAGCACAACACAAAGACAAACAGAATGTTGATCTCAACAGTTTTTTGTGAAAGCAAAAATCAGCTTCTCTAACTTACAAACTTCCATAGAAGAGGAATTTTAGGAAGGGGGGAGGTGGAGAAAAAGGGGAAAAAGAGGACATATGAAATTTCAGGAGTGCCTTTCAATGCAAGTTTATGTTAGTGGTGTCCACAAGTCCGATAAGTTCCTTATTTCAGCCCCCAAAAGGCAGAGCTACAAAGTGCAGGTAATACCTCCACAAATAAAATCTTCAAGGCTGCATAAATGAATTATCCTTCTTGCACAAAGTTGAGTATATCTTCCACAACAGTATCCCTACAGTTCTATTCAAACGGGGTCACATTCCTTTCTATTTTGTTAGTTGGGAGTTTCAGTCGTTACAAACAGGGTGTCACTTCCCAAGAATGCACGCCTCTGCTGTTCAACTCCAGCTCCTATTGGCTTTTTGTGTCTCAAGTTTTCCATGCAACTGCCATAATTCAAATTCTGCTGTTACACGCTATGAGTAAGCCAGTCACCAGAACTTGAGACTTACTTTTCAAGCTCATCAATTTGTGGCATTTGCCACAAGTACGTTCTCCAAGGGTTCTGATGACAGCCAAAGTTTCCGAGTGAGATATGCCTATTTCATTACATCTAGGAATCTGAGAACTACCAAGTTGCAGTTAAAGGATCTCTGATTGCAGTCCAAAAGCACCTTCAAGAAACCAGATAAGGCCTTCCCACTTTAAATGCGTTTTAAAAGTACGTTTTAAAGTACATATTTAGCAGCATTAGAGAAGATACTCAGGGCTGTTATGTGATTACAAGAAATTGTTCTAACTGCCCTGCTTTACTAGCAGAATGCAGCAAAGGGAGATGATTTATCCATGACGTTGAAGGAACAGTTAACTTCAAATTTCATATATGCAAATTTTCCTCTTTGGTCATCCTCCATGCTAGGAAACCATACTTTGCTCTATGAATGTTAATATTTACCTGAAAATACAAAATAACCTAGGCTATTTCTAATATTCTGTAGTACCAAACATAATGGCTTTTGTGCAAGAAAGGTGAATTACACAATTAGTTATAAATTGAAAGTCATACCCTGTATTTTCATTGTGATCCTAAAAAAAAATAATTATCTACTGCACCACCTCCTCAGTGCAGAATTTGGTTGAGATTCGGAAGGTCATTAATTTTTTCCTTGTAAGATTAATAAAGCAAACATTATTTCAGAACTGCCTAGTTTGAAAGCATTCCACTGAATCTTACACCAAGATTTGTTTGAGCTTAAATCCAGTGAGACCAGGACCTTTTGTAAAGTGATCAGCAAACACTGAATTAACGGCATGCTTTGGCCAATTAAGGCTCGAATTACATTGCTTTACATAATCAACACTTGCAATGCCTCACCAGTTCCCTGTAAGTAACTGAGCACAGTAGTTTGTAGACAAAGATTGTCTGAAAATAGTTAAGCTAAGGAAAAGTTACAATAAAAAAAAAAAATTTTTTCCTTGTAAGATTAATAAAGCAAACATTATTTCAGAACTGCCTAGTTTGAAAGCATTCCACTGAATCTTACACCAAGATTTGTTTGAGCTTAAATCCAGTGAGACCAGGACCTTTTGTAAAGTGATCAGCAAACACTGAATTAACGGCATGCTTTGGCCAATTAAGGCTCGAATTACATTGCTTTACATAATCAACACTTGCAATGCCTCACCAGTTCCCTGTAAGTAACTGAGCACAGTAGTTTGTAGACAAAGATTGTCTGAAAATAGTTAAGCTAAGGAAAAGTTACAATAAAAAAAAAAACAAACAACAAAATAACAACCACCCACAAAAAAACCCCCAGAACATAAATAATTCATAGCAGGTAGTGAAATGCTTCCTTTTTTTAGAAGACCTTTTTTTTTTTTTGGTGAAATGCTTCCTTTTTTTAGAAGACTTTTTTTTTTAAGGAAAGTTTTTAAATTTCAATACTAATACACTAACATTGGTCAGATTTTCACACAACAGTGGGATGTCCTCCACAGCATAACCATCCTTATCAGGCAAGATTTCAGGCACTCTGCAATACTAGCTAACATTTGAATGAAGTTTACTCCGAGGAGTGGCCTCCCAGTTGGTCATAGCTTTTCAAAGTCAGTTATCTACAAGAAGGGCGTGTGGAGGTTGGAATATCTCCCAGCATGCAAAACCATTTTCAACTTGATTCAGTGGTCTGCACTTGAAGTTTATTTAACACTAGTTGGATCATGTCACTCGCTACCAATTAAGGAAGGAGGTTTTTAGATGTTTATACTTAGCAAGCCTTTACATTGGAGGAGAGTAAATCTGCTTTGGCATAAGACATTTAGTAAATATGTTCAGTTCAATGCCTTATGTTCAGCTTTTAAAACCAAACCTGTGCAATCACCTTTTTTGTGCCCTCAATTTATTTGGAATCTGTCATTTTGAGATACAGTTTGTTTTCAAAGAGAGCAAGGAGAATTTCACCAATGTATTTGATTTGGTTTTGAAAAAAAAAAGTTTAGATTTTTGCTTAGACAGGTTGTGGAATGAAGGCCATTTTTACAGCACCATTTCCCAAAGCATTCACAAGACACCTCCACAGCTTTACATCTGTCACACATAAAATCAGAATACAGTACAGCACATTTAAGATACCTCCAGCCTTCATAGAGATTCAAGCTGATCAATTCCACACGTTTTATTACAATTTTGCCTCTGTAAAACTGAAGAAAATCCACCCCAACAAGTGACTTCTCTTTTTTTTCAAAAGAAGAAGAGGAACTGTGCCTGCCAATCAAAGTGATGGGTCACAGGCAGCAATAGTGTCAAAGAGACACATTTTTAATCAGAATGCCGTGGCTTAGGGCAAATTTCACGCTGAACCTTGAGGTATGGCAGGCACCGTGAATGTCAATACCACTCCCATTAGGCCCCAGCCGAAAATCTTATCTGTCAGACGCACATGAAAGGCAAACACTAAAGCGCTAGGAAAGGCAATGAAGTATCAGCCTGGTTTAGAAGAGGTCCTTTCCTTTGCAAACCTTTGCACGAATAACCCCTGTCCTCTCCTGGAAGAGGCCTGACACCCCATTGGAAATACAAGCAAGACGAGGGGGGCAGAGAAGGAGGCTTCTACAAGCCCACGAACACCCAAAATAATGCAAAGAGGGGAACGGGGGCCGCTAAGAGGGCTGTGCCAAGGCTAGGAGAAACTATTCCACCCCACAGGCCCCCGAGCGGCCCTTGCAGCCCTTTGTCCCTGTGGCCCCCGCCACTAACAACCCACCCCTGCCCGGATCAAGCGCCGGCTGCTGGCCTCTTTCCACACCTCGGTGGAAGGGCCTGGCCGCGCCGTGCCGTCCACCCTCACCTCAGTGAAGGGATCCATTGCTGCTGCTACTGCTGCTGCCGCCGCTCCCTCAGGCAGAGCCTCAGACCGCTCCCCAACCGCTCCTCCGATTTGAATTTCAGCGCCCGCCCCAGCCACGCATGCGTGAGGCCGCGCGCCCACGTGACACGCGGGGAGGGAGGGGTGGGGGGCCGCCCGCCCCGCCCCGCCCCTCCCCCTACCGTGTCCGGAGCCGCGGCGGCCTTGATTGACAGGCGTACTGTCCAATCCGATGGCGGCCTGCACTCCTCGCCTTCCCCTTGGCGCACCGCCAGTTCTGTGAGGGAGAAGGCGGGGAGAGGGACGGTGAGGCGGCGCTTTGGCCGGGCTGCCCCGCACCGCTGCCGGGCTGCCAGGGATGGTTTTCCCGTTCCCGGCTCCGGGAGCAGGCCCGGCTTCGGGCGGTACACCCCCGGGCTCTGGGTCTGAGCCCTGCCTGTCGTCTCACTGCCCAGGGTTTCTGTGTGTGGCGTGCAGGGAGTGTCTTCAGCCATGGCGGCCCTGTCGCCTTCCCTTCCTCCTTTTCCTCAGCCCGGTTCGGCGCAAACTGTTCTGGTTTGGGTTTTTTTTTTTTAAAGAACACCGAGGCTTTTACCTTGCTTACAGGCAAGTGGTGCAGTACTGCCCGGTTGATTCCATGTCTTGCTGCAGCTGCTCAGTAGGAGTCTCCCCCAAGCCTTTTTCACATGAAGCTTCATTTTTCAGCTGGCATCGGTAGCAAAATCATGATTTTCATGTTGTGCTGTGAATGGAGAGGATATTCATCCCAGTGCATTTGTGAAAGTCGCAGCCCTTTCTCATGGCTTTTACATTTCTCTTTGTCTTGCAATCCATGGCCACATAAAACGTCACCCACCTGTTCCTGCTGCTGTCCCCATTTCATTTTCTTCATGTGCTCATGATGTTTCTTAAAGAGTTTGTGATGCTGGATTGGCAGAGACACATCAGGTGCCCGATCTAGCCCTTGCTATCTGGGCATCATCTCACAGAATCACAGAATGCTATGGGGTTGGAAGGGACCTCTGGAGATCATCTCCTCCAACCCCCTGCCAGAGCAGGTCCACCCAGAGCAGGTTGCACAGCAACGTGTCCAGGTGGGGTTTGAATGTCTCCAGAGAAGGAGACTCCACCACCTCCCTGGGCAGCCTCTGCCAGGGCTCTGCCACCCTCACAGGGAAGAAGTTCCTCCTCATGTTTAGGTGGAACTTCTTATGGTCACGTTTGTGCCCGTTCCCTCTTGTCCTGTCCCTGGGCACCACTGAAAAAAGACTGACCCCATCCTCCTGACACCCACCCTTGAAGTATTTATAGGCATTGATCAGATCCCCCCTCAGCCTTCTCTTCTCCAGACTAGAAAGTCCCAAGTCCCTCAGCCTCATCTCATAATAGAGATGCTCCAGGCCCCTCATCCTCTTTGTAGCCCTCTGCTGTCCCCTCTCCAGCAGTTCCCTGTCCTTTTGGAACTGGGGAGCCCAGAACTGGTCCCAGTGCTCCAGATGGGGCCTCCCCAGGGCAGAGCAGAGGGGCAGGATGACCTCCCTGGACCAGCTGGCCACACTCTTTTTAATGCCCCCCAGGATGCCACTGGCCTTCTTGGCCACAAGGGCCCATTGCTGGCTCATGGGCATCCTGTTGTCCACCAGGACTCCCAGGTCTTTCTCCTCAGAGCTGCTCTCCAGCAGGTCACCCCCAACCTGTCCTGGTGCAGGGGGCTATTTCTCCCCAGGTGCAGCACCCTGCACTTACCCTTGTTGAATGTCATCAGGAATTTCATCTCAAACTGAATTTCATCTCAAACTCCCCGTAAATAAAAACACATTCACAAATAGAGCTTGGGATGTTTTGTCTCTGCTGTTCCCCCGGGAGGCTCCTATAGGCCTGACTGCCCAAGTGACTAAACCTCATCAAATTTCCAGTCATCCATACATATTGGCACCCCTTTATACCTTTTTTTGCTTGTATGCAAATAGTGTTCATTACCTTGCATGAATTCCCGTCTTCCCTAGTGTTGTGCATCTTGCTGCCTCTTGGAATATTTATAGCCAGCAGTCATTTCTTCTTCCAACCTTTGCTTTGCCTTGGTAATCAAACCACGCTCTTCTAATCATCCCTCATTAAAACAATCTTTCCAATGCCTTATTTGCAAACAGCGGGGCATCAGCACACAGCAGAATCTACAAAATACAAGATCAAATAAATATTTTTTTTAAAAACTCTTCAAGATTGGATGCTCTGGCCAACAAGTATCTGTCTCTGCAACGTTCTCAGATGAACGTGGGTTGGAGCAGCCCGAGGTCCAGCATCAGAACTTGGTCACGCACACAGCTGAAAATGGGGACTTAGCAGGTAGGACTCATCACCCATTAGCTATGAACTAGTCTGTACAGTGATAAGGCTTTATTTCCTTCCAGAGAAACTAGGTATGGCTGTCACTGGGAAATAACAGAAACATTCCGAATCAATGCAGGCAAATAACAGAAGACGAAATAGCCAACATGGAGCTCAAAGAGGTCAGCAGAAAATTAAAATAGAGAATTACCATTAAGTTTTCTTCTGTCTCCTGCCACTCCAAAAATAAGAGAAGTCACGCGCAATTTGAGCCCTTTCAATGTAACGGAATTGCTGCGATTTAAACACACTTTTTCTGCTTGACATGTGGATCTGGGAGGTTTGTACAGTGAGGCTCCAGCTGTCCTTGGTGCATGTCCCAATGTGGCTCCATCCACTCCTGTCGTCTCTGAAACGGTGCGGCATAGCCTGGGGGGGCAACAACCACAGTGCTAGCTGCACTGCATAATGATAACTCATACTGTAATAATAAAACATAATGTGCATAATGATCTCATCTGCTATTTAATATTAAAAACGAGGGAAACAATCATGCCTTATTCTGCAAAATAAATGTCTTGTGAAAAATATTCCTATAAAGTATATTCTGGAAAATGAAACTGAGATTCCTAGGAGCGTGTAACTGCTTAAAATGCAACATGCATGTGACAAACCTCCTGTCCTTTTGGTCTCTACAGAGCCAATAATTTCTTCATCATTTTGATCCAGACTCAGGGGGGCCCTGCTAAACATGCATAGAATATGTAGTTTCTCATCTTTTTGAGGGCTTATGTCTGTCTTCCAGAAAAGCAAGAGACGGTAAATACACCTTATCCTTATATCACTCCAAAGAGCCAAAGAAAATCAGTATTTTTCAGGAAGGCTGCTATAAAATGGCTACAAGATCCATTCTCTGTGTAATGGTGGGAGGTATGGCCTCTAGCAATGAAATTTCCAGCCTGTTATTTTCTTCTTAATAAATTAATAAAACCATTTGCAACTTACAGATTAAAAAAAAAAAAAAATCAACTGGTGTTTCACAATCTGAAGGCATAAAAAAAAAGGGTATTTGCAACTTAGAGATAAAAAAAAAAAATCAACTGGTGTTTCACAATCTGAAGGCATAAAAAAAAAGGGGAAAAAAAAAGGAATGCCATGTCGAGACCAGTCAAACAATGAGCCAGCTCTGCCCGCCCAACAACATTGTATTTTATGCCAGACTTTTGCATTCAAAAATTATGACTCACGCTCTTCACTGGCTCCTCACCCCACGTGACATGGTTTAAGATTTCTTCTTGCCAGGGGTAAGCTAATGAAAAGTAATCCCTTCTGTGACAATAAATAACAGGATACAAAGCACTTAGGGAACGGTTTTTTGCTGGCTTGCAGTTTTCATGGGAATTGAGCGCGCGGACACCGAAGCCAGTCATTTTTCTTTTAACGTGGCAAGAAAGGCTTTTTTACTTTCCCAAGTTTTCCTTCAAAAATTTGTCAAGCATATTGGCTCTTCTCAGGGGTAGTTTTTCATTTTCAGAGGGTTACAGAAGTTTGCACAAGCACTTCAATAAGAATGGAGCACTTTTTAACTAATAAGGAGAGCACCAGCCAAATTTTTTTGTAGCTCTGGCTGCCTTACAATCCCAATACACTCACAAATGTATAACATTGAAGGTGAAAACGCTGGTCCCAGTGCAGTCCACTGCATAGTTCCATTCTGTAATCCTCTGAGAGTATTTCCTAAAACTTCCTTTCTGATGAGAAACTGAGTTCGCAGTTCTGATTCCAAAGCAAGGTGCTTCCCTAGGTTCACAGAAGAATCTCAGTAATCCTGTCATTTAGAGGCAAATTCTATTTTACAACTTGTCGTTTCCTTTATTCACAGTTAAATAATTCAGAGCGAAAGTTGATGCTCACCTGTCTTGCAAGATTTGATCTACTGCACGGTGATAGAGTGCGATAGAGTACAGGATATTGTAGTATTCCTTGTAGTTTAGATTTACCTTCAAAAGGCATTTTTTTTACCACAAAATTCACTCTTCTGCTAATCGGCTGGAGAGCTGTCATGATTTTGATACTCACTTCACACTGGTACGTGTGATTGCACGGGAGAGAGGAGAATCTACAGTCTAGTACACAGTGTTGCACATCATTATTTCTGGACTGTCCTCCCATTACATTTAATTCTTCCCAGTGACTTCAGATGAAGGGTTTAAGGCAAGGGGACAGCCCTTGCAGAGCTTCTTGAGGACTGTGCCACCAGCACCAACATCCCTCTCCTGTAGCCTGACATCTTTTTGCCCCTGGTGCTTTGTGGAGGATGGATGGTGGCTGGTCTGATTCTCTGTGCCTCAGTGCCTAAGGTGAAGCCAGGCTGGAAGAGATCCCCCTCTCCACAATCACCACACCAGAACCCACCTATAAGGGAATCCTGCAGAAGATCCTACAGAAGAGCAGTAAGAACATAATATCCATCCTTTCCTCAGTAATTCTGCAATGAAGACCATATTGTGCCCTCTGATCCCCTTGAATACCCTAACATGCCAGAGACTTGGCCTCACAAAAGGCAATTTTATCCACAAACAACAAATAGAAAGGCTGGTCCATAGTATTGTGAAACAGCAGGTTTGATTAATTTGTATTTTCTACTGCAAATACTACGTAATCAGAAACATTTTGATGGGCAGCACCTTTTATACTGCTTTTGTCAGCTCCTATGATAATTGCAGAGGCAACTTTAGGCTGACATTATCCAGTAAAGG